ATCTGTCTTAATACTGGGTTTTGAAAGAATAGTCATTAACTTGCAATATATAGACCATTCCGATAATAATGACTTATTGAGCTCTATCTCTTTGTGGAGACTGATCTAGGTGCTCTGAGAAATATATTAATAAGACCTCTCCCCAACTTGAAGAATAAGACATTCCAGAAGAGAAGAAAAGCAGATACTACATAAAAATTCATTTTTATCAGAGTTCGATTTTTCTTGTTTTGAGGAGTTCATTCAGCAGGTAGTAAGTGCCTCGAGCTCTAAGTGGGCAGGACTCAGGGAGACGTGTCCCTTCTGGCCGGGGTCATGGGGGAGGGTATGGTGGAAAAGTCAGGATTTTAAAGAGATCTGGAAAAGAAGGTCAGATTACAGTAGGGCTAGAGAAGGCTGAAGGGGTATTTTAGGTGTAGAACACAGTAAAAGGGAAGAAAAGTCCCAAAGTGCACTGGGGGTGGGGAGGCATCTGCTTAAATCTGACCGGAAATCAGCATGCGAGTGGATGACATTGGTGGCGATGAGATAAAACCGGAAGGCTGGGAGCCTCTGGGGAACCTTCAGTGTGGAGTGGTCAGTCAGCACAGTGCCGTGGAAGGTCTGGAGAGCAGGTGACAATCGAGGCCGCGCTTATCAGTATTCACTCAGCAGTGAGAGACTGGAAAAAGGTTAGACTATCTTCATACCCCTTATGAGAAGTCGGCCTAAGTAGCTTGTCAAAAGTTGCAAAGATGGTGAGTACCTGGGGGAAGACAGTGCAACTCGGCTACTCCACTCCTAGGACGGCTGAGGCCCCCCCCCCAGGAAGTGCATGGTTTTGATTGTTCCGCTCGAGCATCCTTTGAATTGTTCTTGTTCTTCCTCATACACCGGAGGCCCCACGTCTGCCTCCTTGGTTCTTCTTCCACAGGACTTTAAAAACGTGCCCTCCTCCAGGGGCCTAACACGCTGCTTTGGCTACATCTGGGTACGTCTGGGTATCTACATAAAACCACCTCAAACCCCAAGCCATGACCTCTCTCCTCACAGTGCACCCACAATGGACATCTCCACCGGAGTTCCAAAATAAAACGTGTTGTTTTCCTCTGTTACTGCTTTTAAGTTCCCTAGTTGGATCAATGGATCATTCGGTTAACACAGGCTACAAAAATTCTGGCCTCTCTTATTATTCGCTACCCCACGTGCCTCTTGAAGATGCTATTTTCTTTCCATTTTACTGGCACAGTCACAGCCCAGTACCACCGCTGTGCTTATATTCTAACTGGGGTCCCTGTCAATCATCTCTTCCTCAACCAATCTATTTTCACAGTGCCTTTCAATTTCCTTCTTTAAATACACATTTGAACCCATCAGAGTTCACGCTCTCTCGACTTCTTGAGTTAAACAGCCTCCTCACTGAGGGGTTGTCAATATTTTTTGTAAAAGGCCGGAAAACAAATATTTTAGGCTTGGAGGACCATACTCATTTGTGCTACAGTAGTGCCATACATAGTAACATAAAGAATAATGTTGGCTGAGTCCAATAAAACTACTTATGGATGTATAATATTTTTATGTATCACAAAATATTTTTCTTTTTTCCCCCCAACCATTTAAAAATATAAAAAAAATTCTTAGCTCATGGATTATACAAGAACATGATGGATCAGATCTGGCCTGTGAGCGATAATCGCTGCCTCTGCCCTAACTTGTCTTCTTGTCTCCTACATATACTCTCCAAGTTCACTCTCCATGCTGCTGTCTGAGTCAGGATCCCAGCCCAAAAAGTGGATCATGTTGACAGCACTGCTTAAAACACATCAAGAGTAACCCATTACTCTCAGAATCGCCCAAACTACAGGTCCTTCCTCGGGTCCCTGACGCCCTTTCCAGGCTTACTTCTTGCCGGACACCTGACCTCATCATAGAGTTACGCTCTTCTCCTTCCTCTTTCAGTCTTTGCATATACTGTTCCCTCTAGCTGGGGTACTCGCCCCACCTTTTTCCACTTGGAGAACTCCTTTTATGAACCCATTAATCAAGGTAATACTAGAAAGCTTTCCCCGACTGTTACCTCCACCTCCGATGCAGAATGATCCTGTTCTCCTTCCTATGACCTCCTGAGGTAATCTTTACTTCTGTCACTACAGAAGTATCACACTCTATTATAATTGCAAACATAGATCTGTCTCCTCAGCGGAGTGTGAGCAACCTAAGGGTAGGATCCGAGTCTGATTTTTTCTCTATGCCAAGGGCTGGGCAATGTACTTAGAAGATAGTAGATGCTCAATAAGAATTTGGTGAATAAGTGAATGGTTAGACTTACCAGTTGGGTCCTTCAATAATAAATATTGAATTTCTATTTTCCATTTTTAAGTCCAATTATACAATAAGGGAAAATATCCCAAAAATGATAGGTTATTTTTTTTTCCAGATTGACTTACAGATTTCTACTGAAGTTTTTAAATTTTCTTTGCCCTGGAAAATTTGGGTCCTTATGTCATCATTCCTTTATAATATGATTTTCATATTTGAAAATTTTCATATTTGATTTTGAACTTTTGTTTAGAATACACTATTCGAAATGTTTAAGTGGAGACTAAATGAAGAGCTACCTGCGTGGGTTTCTTTCTTTCAAATGGAATACACTAAAAAAGAAAGAAAATAACATTTCTTGGCCACATACTAGGGTATACTGAATCCATAAAGAATGAGGAGGGGAAGCAGACTCTAAAAATCACCCCCAAAATACATCAGAAATATTTAGCCCCACAACCAAGCCACAATTTCAGTGCAAAAGAGAGATATACACAGTTCCTCGCATTTTTTATCGTCATCTTTAAGTTTATGAATGAGGATTTTATAAAATACAAACAGGGACTAAGTGTAAAGTGCTTACAAGAGAGTGCTGCACTTAGAAAACAGGTAATTAAGTTTTGTTTTCTGTAAAACTGGGTTAAATTTTGGTGGACTCGGTGTAAATAAAGCTCAGTAGAAAAAGCCTTCCACGGGACCAAGCAAAACCGTTTTTCTTAAGAACAAAGGAATTAGTTACCACTCGTCCACTTTCTGCAGTTGCTGCATCTTAATATGCTCTCTTTGCAAGAAATTGATCTTGTCAGACAGTACAAATTGATACTGCACAGGAAAACTCTCCACAGACTATGACTTCAGAAATGAACTCTCGGAATACGACAGAATGGCAAAGGGGGGCAAAACCAGCATTAATATTTATTTACTGAAGCTCAGCCACACTGAGACTTTAAAATCTGTCCGACCGCTGTGGTTTAAGTGCTTAGCACACAAACGGCTGGTTCTCACTAGAAGTCTGACAGAGAAGAAAAACGGTTCACTATCATGATGAAGCTAAATTCCAAAACTTCTAAGATTTAATAACCATAGGAACTGCATTGTCATTACACTCTCACATCCGCAATGACAAAGCTTCAAGTGGGTGTTAAACAAATGGTTATTATGCTTCAGTATAAGCAATTTTTTTCTCATAAAAGTATTTTATCCATCAAAATTTTCCCAGATCTCACACATGTATAAATGATTTATTTTTTTTCCTTTCCTTTCTCCCTCCCTCTCTCTCTCTTTTCTTCTTTCTTTCATTGTTCAAAAGGAAAGGTGGCAAACCATTTGGAATATTATTATAACAAAATGTTTTTAACAAAGTTTGATTTTAACAGAACCAGAGGCATCTTAACACTAACCCAAAACTTTGGGAGGTTCACCAACCTCTAGAATATTTTTTTTTCTCCAAATGCAGGCTGTTCAAGTGGTGCTTTTCTCCATCTGTTATCATACCGTGCTCAGAATTACATTGTCATATTTAATGTAAAAGGGATCAATCCCCTTTCATAGTTTAAATTCAACATATTACTATGATTAAAAGACCAGTGTTGTTTTTTTTTAATTTATGAACCAAACTAAATATAAATTTACATAAGTATTTAAACAAAGTTGCCTCTAAAAACTGAAAAACTCTAAAACAATTGAACAAACCTAAAGGCTTGACCCGAAAATTGAAAAATTATATTAAAACAAATTGAGAAGAAACCACTTACATGGTAATGTGAAATATCAACAATCTCAGTTTGAATTTTTCTCTGTGTGTATTTATGTGTATGTGTGTATATTTTCAATATAGCCAACTATACCATGTTTGGTACCTAAAATATCTTATTGTAATTTAGGGCTGAGTTATATCTTTACTAAAGTTTCATGACAGTGATGAGTATATCACAATATCTCACGACAGAAACAATGTAATTTGAAACCACGATGTGTGAGCATGGTTATAATAATGATTGAAACATGAAATGTGCCAATCAATTTCACCACTAAATTTTATACCTCCTCAGGACTCGGGTTCCTTATTTTGTATCAGTTCCATTTCAATTTGCATTCCTCTTTCACTCTGCCTCTTTAACCACTGACAGTAGCTGATTATTTTCCTAAATGTATTATTTAGATCCTTCAGTTCAACATTTTTTATTAGACACATAATTAACAAGAGAGGTAGCGGTGGTGGTAAAAGAAATATGTCATTTTGCTTATATTGATAGAGAATCACCTAAATATTTGAGCTCTGTAGATGAAAGGTTTTGTAATATATCAGTAATTCCCTGCCACACTTATCATTCACATGTCTGGGTGTTTTGCTTACTACATCTCCACTTCTCTGAACATGCCTGAAAGCTGTGTGTGAATTGAATGACTAAGACTAACTCTAACAACTGTTTGGAAGCCTGTGGCAAAAATCAGTGGAATGAAATCGGTGCTGTGGTGCATAATGGGATTAGGGAGTACCTGGTGAGGTGCAGTTGGTGCTCGGATTCGCCCAGCAGCTCTGTCAGTTTCAGGCACTCCTCTCTGGCCCAGGCTGCCTTCTGCTGCTCCTGGTCCAAGAGCTGCTTGCTTTCACTCAGTTCTAATGTCAATTTTTCTACTTCCTTAGGTAGAGAGAAGAGAGAAAAAGCATCCATATAAAATACGTGTACTTGAATTCAAAATTATCTCATTTTTGTTTCTGCCATGAATTTTAATGTGATAAAAAAATTATTAGAAAATTTAGGCTGGCTTCCATTTTATGACAAAGGGAATTAACAAAGCCAAAAATGCACATTAGTGAGGTTTTCTTGGATCGTAAGATGAAGTCTAATTTTAAAAATGAAATGATTCAATGAGAGAGTCAAAATGGATAATCTGCACTTTCATTCTAAGGCTCAGTCCTTTTAAAAAATAGTATTAACGGAAAATGTCACTGCTTTTAAAATGTAACATTTTTGTTTGTGACATTCGATCAGACGTGCAGTGATTTACATCAAATATGGTCAAATATGTGACTCTTTTCTGAAAGATATATTTATTTGGATATTTTGAAAACCAAATTAAAGGGTAACATAATTTAAGATATCTTTTTGAAAAATGTGAGGTGTAAATGAAAGTATCATGATGATGCTCTATATTTGGAAAAAATAATTAGGAAAAAAATATAGCATGAGAACCTTTAAGTATTTAGACTATATAAGATTTCTGAGCTCAAATAATACTATATTAAAATTGCACTGTTAAAAGGGGAAACAAAAGCACTATCAGATCAATTAATAAATATAAACATCTAAAATATATGAAAACTTATGTTGGTTAATTTTCTGGTCTCAGGATGAAATCATCCCTATCTTACTGAAACTCAAATATTTCAAAGCAAAAATACCTTACATAGAACATAGTTTTAAATAATTTATACAGTAAAGTAGAAATATTTATTTATTATAGAACATTTATAAAAAATTTAAAAAAGAAAAGATAAATATTCAGGCTATTAAACAAGAAAAATTAGATAAAAGAAATTAAAGGGTAGAAACATTTTCAAATTCAGCAGACAGCGAGAAGCAATTTTAATGCAAAAATGCAATTTCCCTTTAAAAAACAAAATCATGCCTAAGTAGACTGTTTTAAACATTTCAAATTTCCTCATGTCATTACTCAATATTGAGAATAATTTCCAACTATACTTAATACATCAGGCAAGAAAAATGAGTGCATTTTTCATATTTACTACACTGTAAATATTCAGTTTATGCCCATCAAAACCATATATTATCAACTATATAATAAAACAACTTATTATGAGTTCTCAAATATTGTTTTATTTTTAAAAAGCTATATAATAATGTGTATCACTTTCACTCAGAGTAGATTTTCCATACCTTTCAGATTAGAATATTAATAAAACTTATTTGTTTCTTTAAAATATTTTAAACTGTTCAAGTTATATTAATATATTTCATCTCATAATTAAATATAATTAAAAAGATGAAAAACAATGGAAAAGTATTAACTTTTACTTGTCTAACATTTGTGAAATTAACAAAAGCAAAAAGTATTGGAATTTTATGTTGACTTTAAAACTTTAAAAATTCATTATGAATTTTTTTACACAGTGCTATATGCAAGACACTACATTAAATATTATGGTGGACTCCCAGAATTTCCATTTTTCTACCCAGAAGTTAACAATTCAATTGGGTAAACGAGACATATACATACACAAAAGACTATTAAAATACAAAGCATATAAAAAAACAACAAATGCATATTAGATAAAAATCTGTGCTTTAACAGGCCAGATTAGAAATATATTAGCATGGGCAAGAAAGTAGGAAAGAAGCCAAGGGCACATAAACTCATGGAATAATAGATTAGACCACATTACGAAAGGTCCTAAATTCTAGATTAATAAAACGATTTTTCTTATATATAATGAGGAGATAGTGATGGCTTAAACAAGTATGCAATATGAGAGAAGCTGACCTTAAAAAAACTAGATCAATGTGCATGATAGATTTAAGATGGCAGAGACTGACTAGCAGTAGGGAGACCACGAAAAGATAGATGAACTATCTAGAGGGGTAGAGACATTATTAAAATATATATAATAAAAGAGAAATATAAAGAGAACACGGTGAGTATATGGAAATAAGAGGAAAGATATCAGGAGACATCAAAGCTGATTCCAGAATTTCGAATTGAGAGGATATAAAAGAATGACAGAAATAAAAAATGTATAAAATTCCCAACTTTCTTAAAAAGCAAAGACACAGCAAGTTTTATAAGCACCATACAATAGCAACATATGGAACTTCACACTGATAGTTAGGCTTTAAGTATAAATCATGTTCTTTCTTAATCTCATGTAATAAAATCTCAGAGGCTATACTGGAAGCCAAACATAGAGATAAAGAACACGGGCCCAAGAGTCAACACATATCGGGGTTCACAGCTCTAGCACTTTCCAGCTCTGTGACCGTGGACAAGTTATTCAGGTTCTTCAGTCTAAAATGGGAGTGATAATTGTAGTAAGCTCCTAAAACTATTGTGAAAATTAAATTAGATGAGGAGTACTTAGCAGAGTGTCTAGTACCTAGTAAGAGCTGAATAAAAGATAGCAAGTATCATTATTATTTATGATTTTTTCCTCTATCTTTCAAGAACAGCAAAGAGATAAGTAGAAAAAATGATCTGCCTAAAGATTCATCGTTATTACTGAGGACTAAAGCATTCTTGTTTTAATCCAATAACATTTCCCCGATAAAGTATTATTTTGGTGAAAATTAAATAAAACTTTATTATAATTTCAAAATGCAAAAAGCACTTTTCTTAGGAAGATGGAAAATTACTGTCTGCTTCTGATTATCTGTGCCAGAAAAAGAGCTTATTGGTGCAGGTAATCAAAATCAACAAATAATCTAACCAGCTGGACCAGGGCGCAGCACTTACTCCCTGAGTCAGAAAAATCTGCCATGGCACCAACTCCAACAGTTAGAAGAGGCATCTCTTGCCAGAAATGCCATGCTCCCACTGGCAGGATAACCCTTTGCCTCACCCAACTAGGTCAGAGCTGCTTTCTTGGCTGTACAGAGTGGCTTGAGGATGAAAGACCAACAACAGTCATAGGCCAACTGTACATTATTCTTAAAGTACATTATAAACCTGCAATGTCTGCTGTGCAGTTTGATGAGGCCGTCTTAGCCAACAGGGCAAAGACAAGTCCAGACAGCTTTAACTTTACCAAAAGATACACTTCAAGTTATGACTGTAACCACCAGAACAACTAATAGGAGAATAGTACTAAGGACAGGATATGGAGAAAGGGGGATTCGTTACCGTTCATTTATAATCCATAGTGTAAGAAGGTTTTTCTTACTAATCATGGACATATGTGACTTCATTCTTATTATTAATGAAATTTTCTTATCAAAGTAATATGCCAAATTTAAGTCAAATAGCATTCAATGCCTATAACAAAGAAGGGCAGAGGCCATGCTCCACCCCTCACCCATCTCTGAGCTTAATCTTCAAAGGCACACACTCTCCACTCTTCTGATATTTATCTTCATATTTTTAATGCTGCTTCTTGATTTTGCAGCATTAGACATTATCTAATGATTTCCTATAGTAAAAAATTAATGATTTCTGTTTCCTATACCACCCACCCAACATAACATAACCTACCATGTAACAATTTTGATTAGATCACTAGTCAGTCGTCCATTTACATTATAAAGACTATAGAAATAGTGTTCGCTACCGAGACAAGCATTATTTTGCTTAATTTTCTTGCACAATATTTTCTTATTTCTGGAGTTAACTGCCTCATTTTTAATAGTTTATTTTTCTAGGTAACTGGCATTTTGCCCTAAATGACAAAACAGATCTGTCAAATACCCACCAATAATATTTTTCCAAATAATGGAACACATCGGATAAATTATCAGTTCCTTTAAATGTTTTTCCTTATATAGATATATCCTTCTTAGTGCCTTATTTCTGGCCTGTTGATCTCTGTATTGGGTCAAGCCCTACCCATGCTCCTATTATAGAGTTACCTGTTTTCTGGGTTGTAAGTAATTCTGCTCTTAGGTTTACTCTCATTTTTGCTGGAAGTATATTCTCCAGGTAACTTTCATTAGAAAGGATACATGAATAACACATTTTTAAAAAGTGTCTGTATGCCTGAAAATGCTGTTATTCTATGTATGTGCTTAATAGTTTGTCTAGGTATAAAAATCTATGATGAAATTAAATTTCATTCAGGATTTTTAAGGGGCTACTCCACTGTCTTCAAGATTCTAATATAAATGAAAAGGCTTATGCCATCCTGATTCCTAATACTCAGTCTATGATTTACTTTTTTGTTTCTGAAAGCTTTTATAATCATTTTTCCCCTGGCAATTTGAAATTTTACAAAGTTGGACCTTGGAATGGGCCTTTTTTCATGACTTCTTCTGGGTGGGCTCTTCAATCTGGAGGTTTTCTTTAGGGAAGTTTTCTTATATTATCATGTTATAATATTTTGATGCCATACATTTTAATATTTCATCTTCCTGGAACGCCTAGACATTGGTTCTTAGCTTTGTTGAACTGGTCATCTAATTTTCTTATATTTTCTACCTTTTTGTCTTTTGATTCTAACTAACTTCTGGAAGATTCTCTTGACTTCATCTTCTAAAACTTCTACTGAATCAAAAAGATTTTTACCACATTTTTCATTTCCATGAACTTTTTCTTTTTTTGTTTTATACAGCATGCTATTTTTATCTTAATAGCTTATATCTATCAGAATGTTATAATATTTTAATTGTTCTCCTCTGTTCATTATAAATTGTCTCAGTTTCCTTTTTTCTGTGTGTCTGTTTTAAACACTCCATAATGCTTTCCTCAAACACACAGTAATACTTGGCTGCCGTTTCATATTTTGGAATAAAGTAGTTAACAAAAGTTTGTATGTAATGGCTTTTGGTAATGTGATAGTTTATATTACTGTTCAGCCAACATTCACTTCTATCTTCCTTCCACTGGGAGTGGAATACACTCTCTCTCCCCAATGACTTTGGGTCTGGCCATTTTATTTTACTTGGCCCATGGTATTTTCATGGCTGTAATATAA